AATGGGGTCAATCTGTCAAGCCAACAGCAATGATTCCAACAATGTGCCTGTATATTCAGTGCCTTAAGCCCATGATTCTCTAATGTTAATATGCATTAAAATCACTTAGAGAATGAAAAATACACATTCCTGAGCCCAGTCTCACTTGGCTTCTTTTGTGGGTTAAAGAAATCCATATTTTCAACACCTCAAATTACATTAATGCAATTGATCACACGAAAAATTACTGTCCTAACACAGAAAGGCCATTCTGGTGAGAGGCCTTTTAGACTGCCTGCTATTTTGGAAGATGCATGTTCTAACATGCAGAAGATGAAATCAAGAGACAGAGGTGAAAGGCTTAAGACAGCAGGTTGTAGCTCAACAATGCTGGAGGGTCTCCTGGTACAGATGGCCAACAGGCACATGAGAAGACAGTCATCACTCATTAGCAAAATGTAAATCAAAACCATGACTATCATTCCTCAGCTATGAGAATGACTATAATTAAAAAGACAAGAGAGGCCTGCCCCCCTGCTGGCACAGGGACAGCAGTATCAAGCTATTATAAGCTCTGCAACCAAAGCAAGTTCGATTCCTGGCCAGGAAGGTGACCCACAAAGCACAGCAGACCTCTCCTGTCTCGCCCTCAGAGGTGTATTTCAGTGGATCTACCTGCTCTGTTCCCCACTTGGTCTCTGGTGAGTCCTCTCACCCCCTGCACATCTGGCCTACACCTCAGTTCTTATGTGCATAAATAAATAAATATTAAAAAAAAAAGACCAGAGACAACAAATGTGGAAAGATGGTGGACAGAAAGGGAATCCTGCATACTGTTGACTGGATTGAAATCAGCACAGGCACTATGGAAAACATGGCGATTCCTCAAAAAAGGAATATTTTAAGAATTAAAAACATCCCATGACCTAGTTAGACCATGTCTGGGTATTTATTCAAAGAATATAAAATCACTAATTCAAAAAGGTAAATGCACCTCCCTAAGTTAATTACAGCATTATTTACTTTAGTCAAACTACGGAAACTACCTAAGTGACCAGTGGTGTATGAATGGGTGAAGATGTGATATGTGTACACAATGGGATACTTCTCAGCTATCAAAGAAGATGAATTACCACATACAACAATGTATGAACCTAAAAGGAATTATGCTAATTGAAATAAGTCAGTGATTCCTAAACAGAACAGTGGACACAATTCACTCAGCGAAATTTGTAATTTGTTCTTTATAAATTTTCCAAGTACATAACTCAGCCTCTGAATAAAGTGAGGCCTATCAATTTGTGATGGGTGAAGGGATGCATTTGAAGAAAATATCTTTATCATAGTTTAACTGTGAATGATTGAGAGAGATTCCTTGCTAGAGAAATTCCAGCTGGAAAATGTACATATGCATGTGTATACATACATTACTTTAGTAGTACAAGCCTTACATCCTTTCTCATTCTCTCCTGGGTTTCCTAACACTCAAGATAACAACTTTCCTACTGACTCTTGGCTATGTAAACGTAACTTATTACTTTCCTAATATACACTGCATGGAAACTAAGAGATTGCTGTAATTTCCAAAGACATTCTGATGCCAGTTCTCCAGCCCCACTCTTGGTAGAGATTTCCAGTGGAAGATTCATCACCATGTCAGAGACTCAGTGGGAGAAGAACTGCTTATCTCTTCTAACATTTTAACTTGGATGAGTCTCTCCAATGAGCAGTTAGAGGCTTGTACCTTTCCTGAACTTTTGAATCAGTCCCTAATCTGAATCCATTATAGTATTGGCTAATTAAGTTCAGATACACTCTAAACCCCTTGTTTGAGCAAAGAAGCTGAGCAATGTCTATGGGTTCCAGGTAGCTAGAAGGATGGAGACATTCTTCCCCCAGATCTGATGATATCTCCTTCAATATCCCTAGTGAAGGGGGTCCTCAGTGTGGTATCTCAAATGATCTAACCATCATTTGAACCATCAAAGGGTCTCACTCTTGCTAATCCATAATGTTTCATAAGTATATCAGTGCTAAAAGATTCATAGCCAGAATAATGAAGAGGTGGGCCTCCCTGGTGGCATACCACAGCCATTGTAGTACCAGTTCCATCCCCAGCCAGGAAGCTGACCCACATATGGCACAGTAGACCTCTCCTGTCTTGCCTGTTGCTCCCCTCAGCAGTGTATTTCAGGTGATCTGCCTGTTCTGTTCCCCAGTCTGTCTCTGGTGAATGCTCTAACCTCCCTCCCCCCACACCCTGCATTTCTGGCCTGCATCCCAGTTCTTGTATGCATAAACAAATACACTAAGTCTTTAAAAAGAAAAAGAATTAGTGAAGAGGTGAAGTTGGCAAGGGTGGTTTTGCTCAATATTCTTGTTTCCATTCACAGAGAAATAAATCATTATAACTTAGACTAATAGCATTTATTCTCTTTCCTGTCTCAGTGTTACAACTAGATAACAAGAAGATAAACAAATGACCAAAAAACATGAGAAAGGGCACTCAACTTCATTAATCATCAGAATAATACAAATTAAAGGTATATTGCTTCACATCCATCTATCAGAGTGGCTAAAATGGACAAGAGAGACAAAAGCAAGTGTTGATGAGGATGGGGAGCAACTGAAACTCACTTATACTGCTGGTGGGAGTGATAATTAGTACAGCCACTTTGAGAAGCTTTTTGCAGAATCAGCTAAAGCTGCATATATAAATATCCTATGACCTACTGGTTACTACTGGTGAGTAATACTTGAAGATGGAGATCTGGTTCTGGGACTCTGGTAACAACCTGCTTGATCTGGTTGGTGGTTACATGGGTGTGAAAATACATTAGGCTCTACTTTTGTTTTTGTATTTTTCTGTGTATACATTTTGTACTTGTCTTTATATAGTCCTCAACACAAGGTTACACTAATTAATGGAGAGCAGGATCTCAGCTTCACAGCTGTGGTTTTGTTCTTTCCCTCCCTACTCCTTTCTTATTGTTTAATTGAGGATGGATGTAGGTGTTTTTGCTATTGTTTGGTAGAGTCATGGGAAGTTTGTAGTTCAATGGGGATAAAACTAATTCTGTCCTGACCAGCTCTATCGATGCCTCCCCTCTCCTTTCCCTTCAATCCTCACCATAGGTCAACAAATTGGGCAATGAAAGTCAGAACCCTGGAGGAAAGCAATGGTCTTGGAAATAATTACAGGAGAGGAGACAGAGTCCTAATGAAATTAATTAACTAAGCCTATGGATTTTATTTGCCAGTTAATTGAATGGTGGGGACAAAATCGGGGGTCACGATTTCAGTTTACATCAATCTGACACACAGGCAGAAGAGGTTGTCCATTACTTCTTCACTTCAATGAAAAACATGAAAATCTTGAGTGCTTCTTTCTTATAAAGTGATCACTTGCTCCCGTGGAACTGTGAATTCTTCATTGGGGAAACAATGTGGTGTCTATTCATAGGGTGCAACTGGTCAAATGTGCCATCACTTACAGGGAGTAGAATCCCAAAAATGCCAAGTGTCATTGGAACCAGGGCAGCCAGAGAGCAAGAAACACCTGCTGGGAACGGCTGCAGCACCTCAGGTGAGAAGCCATCTAATCTCACAATCCTTGACATAAGCCTTCCTGACATTCCCACCTTAGAAATAGACACTGACAGGCAGAAGGAAGGAACTCCCTGAGGTTGTATTACTAAGTGCTGGTGGGAAAATCAGTCTGGAAAGACTGCTCTTAACCCCAGTGTTCTGTGGGGTTGGATAGTTTAAGCCACTCTCATGGGGACCTAAACACTTTCTGGAGATGTTAGGATGCTAGAACAGGAGGGAGGGCTATATAAGAGGATACTTAAAAAGGAGCAAGAGATGCCTCACGACAAAACACAAATCACAATATAAGATGTATTGTTCAGTGTGCTTGTGCACTTAACATATAACATAGAATACATGCATGTTACATTAGTATCTAAGTGAGATGGATCAAGCTCATTCGGGAGCTACTGAACATTTACTTCACCTTAAAATGTAAAGACTGTCTCAAAGGCTTTCCAAATTCCAGTTGTGGTAAAAGATTTGAAATTTTGAACCATACTAACACACACACAAAAATAATCAATAATGTAAACAATGACAATAAAGCTTCAATTAGCACCTAAGCCAGCTGTGCTCTCTGTCATGATATACCACGTACTCTACACATCCTCGACTGGACACTGAGTACTGTCCTCCTTCCAGGCATCCTAGTGTACCACACCTCATATCTCAACATACACACTCTTCTGGCAGCACAAGACACTTCTTAGTGGCAACACAAACCCAAAAGGCCATTCATTTATCACCTCCATTAGCATCCAGTTGACTCCTGAAAAGTGTCATTTACACTAATATTCCTATTCCCAGCCTTGAGCAGTGCAGACAAGGATCACATACACGGAAGAACACTTGTCCCAAATGCTTTTAAGTGTTCTGCCTCTCTGGATGCCACACTTAATCCTGCCAACTCTGGAGGACACCACACCGCATTCTAGAAGGATGTCTTACTTGAACAGGATGTCACCAACAGATTAGTTAAAAGAAAACAAAAGGCCTCCTTCTTCAGTGAAGGTTCAGCTTAACAGGGCTGCTGAAGACAATTTCACATTGAAATACAGTTTTCCCATTTCAAAGCAAAGTTGAGGCATGCGGCTTGTTAGATTTATATAAAGTCTGGTCTCTCAAGACTATACAAAGCGAATGGCATCCATCAAATTAATTTCCTTGGGGATCGTCTCAAACATGGAGAATGAAAAGACCAGCCCATTAAACATCAAAAGAATGCTTTAAATGGTAATTAAAGTTCTATTATATTTTCTTTTTCTGGGAGCAGATTAGATTAATTCAATTGAGAATATTATAAGTATCAAAGCTGACAGCGTGAATGTGTCGAGTTGGCTGGAAGAGCACTTAATATTGCAGACATCTGTTCATTCAAGTTATAGGAAACACATGAAAGAGGGAGTGGTCTCAGAGCCTGGGTTACTCACCAAGCCGGCACACGTAGATACTGCGACCGAGGAGGAGCTGTCGTTTCGGATAAATCCCTGATAGAAACATCGCTGCACCTCGGGGGCCCGAGTCTCTGAAGCACCATCTTTTCCCAGTACCTGGACAATAAAGTGACTGCTCAAAATTGCCGAGGGCTGAAGTTCTAAGTGTAGCTCCTGTCCAAATGCTGAAAATCGGTAATGCAGGGAGCTGCTGGCACTCTGCACCCATCGCCTCTTCCTGCCGTGTTGGTGAAAAATATCATGTGAAATATACGAGCCGCCTGAGTCCACTTCCACCGGCGTGACAAAGACGTAATCTGCAATGGGAGAGGGTTTGTGGTGAGCTCCCAGAGCCCACAAGCCTAGCTGGGCTCTTCTTCCCAACAGGTTGGCAAATAGTAATGCTCAGTTCAAAGATCTATCTGTGCTCCAATTGGGGGGCACTGAAATAGAATTTTGAGTGGCTCCTTTGGAGGAGAACCCTGTGGTCATTACAACCAGCTTGGCCCCAGTGGTTCCAAGAAAAACGACAAGTCCAGCATAGGAGTGCTAAATGTCAAGAATGTAGACCACGCCACCGCTAGTCTGTAGCACACTGGATGGCTTTTTTATATATTAGCCAGAGCGCTCCATATGTAAAATTGGATTTGTTTTGGAGACGAAATGAATAAGTATAAAACCACAAAAGGAATGAAAGTTTTTTGGGGGGGTAGATGGATATCTGTGTTTAAACCGAATCGGGAGCTTATTTGGGGGCGGTTTCCATTTCAAATGTTAAGTCACAGTGCTGAGTAAGTTGAGCTGATACTGCAGATAATTAATAAGTAACAGCAGTTTCAGATTTCTGATACGAGTGATACGCGATAGTAAAAACCCCAGCACTTGTACCCCTCTTCACATTTTACCAGCTTTTCACAAAGACAATCCCATCTAACCGTGAGCATAAGATAGAGTGACTGCATAAACAGGCCTCGAGATTGTCAGAACTTCTCTGTGGTGTCTGAGGTTTCAAATTGCTCAGACATGTTGGTGGGAGTGTCCGGATCGGGGGACACCTGGAAAGGCATGTTTAAAAATACCTTTCCCAGCGCTTCCTGTGGCAGCACTAATTGCTGCTCATTGCTGCTCGTTGGGGAGAGGAGGAGCCAAAGGACAATTTGCTGCTTGGGGAAAAAAACAAAAACAAAAACAAAACAAAGCCAGCAACACTGTTTTCTGTCACACAATATTGAAACTGAAAAGGTTCACCCCACAGAGGGATGGGGAAGGCACCCTCTGTGCAGTACAGAAAGTTCTGCATTTCTACTTTGTTGGCACAGAACGGGAAGCTAATTTGCAAAGTGTTTAGAAAGATTCTGAATAACTAAGTGGCATGTTTGAGTCACTTGGGCCCTTGGGTTACTGAGGGGAGGAAAAGAATTATTTTCCTTTTCCCAAAATAGTCAGCACCCCCCCCCCCCAATAAAGATGAGGAATGAGCATTAGTCTTGTGGCTGGCAGGAATCAATGACAGGTGATATGTTAATTGGGCCTACCTTCAGAAAAAAAATAATCCCCAAATGACAATTTTAACTGTTTCCTTTTGTGGAGGAGTCATGTGGGCCTCTTCCGGCTGCATTCTGGCTGCATTCTTACCATGAGATTGGTGTCCTGCTCCTCCTACTTCTCCTTGACTCCTTTAAGTAGAAAATTATCTCACTGACATGCATATTCAAAAAAAAATTAACTAAAAATAAGTCTTCCCTGAACCTTAAAGAAAGCAGGCAGCAAGATAATATTCTCTTCTTGAAAAAAAAAAAAAATCTTGTATGTGGCTTTCTAGGTATGTGGTAGCTTCCTAGCAAAAACCACCTCCAAACACTGAAAGCGAACTGAGACAATCATCTCAGACACACTCCAGAGTCTTTATAAGAAGTGGGTTTCTTACCTCCTTGTCCAAAATCATGTGTCTACTCTTAGTACTCTTAGTACTCTTAGTTGGGTGGCCAGGCAGGGGACTTACCCAGAATGGGCCCTAAAAGTGCCCCCAAGCCCACACCTGCTGCTTGTTTGCCAGGGGAGGAAGCACAGGTTGAAGGTCAGCCTTAAAGGACCAGGGGTAGGCAGAGCCTGTGGAAAGTGCCACCTGCCTGCTCAGGGACTGATAAATAGGAGGTCCCTATGGGTGGTGGCTGGGAAGAGGGGGCCTCCAGCCACCTGATGGAATGTGGGGGATTGCTGAAAACTGCACCCATCTCTACGGTTGGATAAAAGGTGAATTTCCCAAGAGTGAATTCCTGGTCCTCTCCTGTCCTCTTCCTGCCCCGCTTCTTGGCACAGACATTCTTGATTACAGTTCTTTCTCCCCAATAAGCTCCCTCGCCCCCCAACAGGGCCAGGGAACACCCGAGAGCTAAAAATGACAGAATTCCAGTTGGGCTTGAAGGTTGGATCAGGAACCAACTGGTCTGTAGCTGGGGGAGAACAGAAACCAGCACTTGCCTTCAGGGCACCAGGGAGAAGTTAATAAGTGACAGAAGTGGAGGTTGCTCTGGAAGTTTGGGTCTGAGGAACCTCAGAAGAGATGTAGGTCCCAGAGACCTAAAGCTACTAGCTTGCTCTCCCCACACCCCCTAACTTCCCTCCCCAATACTGCAGCGTTTAGGAATTCTTGGCTAAGTGCAGAGAATAAAAGAGCAGAGAGAAAGAAAAGGAACAGAAGGAGAGGGGGTGATGAGAAGGAAAAGTACTCACGTGCCTTATTAACACCCCTCCCCACCCCGCTATCACCACCATCTAAAATGAGTTCCTGCAGGCCTTCCCAGTGAAGGAAGAAAACCAGGAAGGGACCAGGTCCATGTCCACTTCCTTTCTAATTTCTCACCGCAGTTAGGTGAGTTAGTTAGTAAAGAGTTTTACAAGCCACCTGTGAATGAAGGAAAGTATTGTTTTCTCATTTCTCATCAAGTCTCATTTCTCATCAAGTCTCATTTAAGTGACTGGCAGCTTGAGGCACTGATTGTTTGATAAGTTCAGAATCCTCTCCGCATCCCTCCTGCCTCCTTTCCTATCTCCCCCACCCCCATCCCGGGAACCATTTCTAAGCGCGCGCGCACCGCGCACACACCTGCCAGGTTGTGGAGTGGCTTTCCCATCTTTGCTCTCTCTGGGGAGAAGGAAGGGACAAAGTACCTGGGAAGGCCTTTCTGGGGATGGGGATGGGGCTGGGGCTGGGGGCCGAATACGAACCATCATTTAATCCGCTGCCGCCAATGCTGCTGTCACTGGCTAAGGCTGCGGAGACCGACGCACAGCAGAGGCAGCACAGCTGGAGCGCCTGCAAGAGAAGAGGCGACACCGAGCGTGAGCTGCACGTCGGGGTTGGCGCCTGGCGCCCCCTGCCACCCGCTCTAGGCGCGCCCCTCGGCGGACACCTGCCTTAGCCACGCGCCCCAGTCGCGCCGCACCCCACGGCGGGCAGATACTGCGACCGAGGAGGAGCTGTCGTTTCGGATAAATCCCTGATAGAAACATCGCTGCACCTCGGGGGCCCGAGTCTCTGAAGCACCATCTTTTCCCAGTACCTGGACAATAAAGTGACTGCTCAAAATTGCCGAGGGCTGAAGTTCTAAGTGTAGCTCCTGTCCAAATGCTGAAAATCGGTAATGCAGGGAGCTGCTGGCACTCTGCACCCATCGCCTCTTCCTGCCGTGTTGGTGAAAAATATCATGTGAAATATACGAGCCGCCTGAGTCCACTTCCACCGGCGTGACAAAGACGTAATCTGCAATGGGAGAGGGTTTGTGGTGAGCTCCCAGAGCCCACAAGCCTAGCTGGGCTCTTCTTCCCAACAGGTTGGCAAATAGTAATGCTCAGTTCAAAGATCTATCTGTGCTCCAATTGGGGGGCACTGAAATAGAATTTTGAGTGGCTCCTTTGGAGGAGAACCCTGTGGTCATTACAACCAGCTTGGCCCCAGTGGTTCCAAGAAAAACGACAAGTCCAGCATAGGAGTGCTAAATGTCAAGAATGTAGACCACGCCACCGCTAGTCTGTAGCACACTGGATGGCTTTTTTATATATTAGCCAGAGCGCTCCATATGTAAAATTGGATTTGTTTTGGAGACGAAATGAATAAGTATAAAACCACAAAAGGAATGAAAGTTTTTTGGGGGGGTAGATGGATATCTGTGTTTAAACCGAATCGGGAGCTTATTTGGGGGCGGTTTCCATTTCAAATGTTAAGTCACAGTGCTGAGTAAGTTGAGCTGATACTGCAGATAATTAATAAGTAACAGCAGTTTCAGATTTCTGATACGAGTGATACGCGATAGTAAAAACCCCAGCACTTGTACCCCTCTTCACATTTTACCAGCTTTTCACAAAGACAATCCCATCTAACCGTGAGCATAAGATAGAGTGACTGCATAAACAGGCCTCGAGATTGTCAGAACTTCTCTGTGGTGTCTGAGGTTTCAAATTGCTCAGACATGTTGGTGGGAGTGTCCGGATCGGGGGACACCTGGAAAGGCATGTTTAAAAATACCTTTCCCAGCGCTTCCTGTGGCAGCACTAATTGCTGCTCATTGCTGCTCGTTGGGGAGAGGAGGAGCCAAAGGACAATTTGCTGCTTGGGGAAAAAAACAAAAACAAAAACAAAACAAAGCCAGCAACACTGTTTTCTGTCACACAATATTGAAACTGAAAAGGTTCACCCCACAGAGGGATGGGGAAGGCACCCTCTGTGCAGTACAGAAAGTTCTGCATTTCTACTTTGTTGGCACAGAACGGGAAGCTAATTTGCAAAGTGTTTAGAAAGATTCTGAATAACTAAGTGGCATGTTTGAGTCACTTGGGCCCTTGGGTTACTGAGGGGAGGAAAAGAATTATTTTCCTTTTCCCAAAATAGTCAGCACCCCCCCCCCCCAATAAAGATGAGGAATGAGCATTAGTC